CCCCATGCGGAACTGGTGCAACAAAGCAAACTCGTTCCAGCGAGTGTCCCCCATCCAGCGCCTAAAATCTGAGGCGTATTCCTCTGCCGCCCGACGGCCCTGTCAGAGTGTGTATAAGATTGCTTCGGCAGAAGCAGCCCGCTGCGGGTCATCATATAGGATGGCCATCGCCTCAAAGAAGTCCTTGACTGTTCCTAGGTGTGGGTCATTGTTTCCCCTTAACCGATGGGCCCAATCTTGGGGTTCGCCCTGCAACAGTGAGATTATAAATCCCACCTTCACTGATTCTGTCAAAAAGGTACGGGGTTGAAGTTCAAAAAATAGGAGGCAGGACTCACGGAATGACCTGAAGCGTGTGCGGTCCCCGTGAAAACGCTCCGGTAGGGGTACCCGGGGTTCCGCCATGGGTAGCGGGGCGGAGGCCCCTGTTGCTGGCTCAAGAGCAGCCGGGGGTGCAGAAACTGGGGCCTGTGGGGCTGGGTCAGATAGGGAGCAGGTCTGGAAGCGGTTCTCCAGCTGCATACATTTATCCTGCAGGGCTGCTACGGCCTGCGTCAGGTTAGATAGATGCCTGCAAATTTCTTCCAGCGGGGAGGGCCCTCCTCTAGGCTCAGTCATGGCCTTCTGGTACTGTAAGGGACCGCCTGGCGACACCACTAGCACTCCACTAATCAGGCGTCCCCAGCGCACGGAGTCTAAGTCCCAGAGTACTTGTTCACCAGAGCCCCTGATGGTGGGGATGGACTTGGAGTACCCCGGGACCAGGTCGTGCTTACTGAGGACACCCGTCAGTGGTAGGGGTGGTCGCCAGGGGCTCCCACGGGAGAGAGCCTGATATGAGGAGGTCTGGGAACCCCGCTGAGAGGAATGGATGGATGGATGGATGGCGGAGCAAGTGCAGAGTCAGGCAAGCCGGGTCGGTAACGGGGAGGACAGCACGGTACAAGGCAGCGGGCAGAGAATAGTCGGGTCACACGCCAGGTCAACAACAGTAGGTCAGATCCAATAGGGGACATACGGAAGAGAGGTCAGGCAAAGCAAGGGTCTGGGCAGGAGAATTCAGGCAGCAGTGGTCAGGTACAATCCGGGTCAGCAACTTACAGGTACAGGTTCAGATTCAGGATACAGGATACAGGGCAAGGACAAGACCAGAAGGCACTGAATGACAGCTCAGGGCCGTTTAAATATCGCGCCCTGCGCTGCCATTGGTGCCCAGCGGGCGGCCGCGGCTCCTACTGCGCATGCGCAAACTCACGCGCCGCGGCCGGCCCGACCTAGAGCCCGCGTCCCTGCACAGGGCGGCATACTGCGCCTGCGCCGGGACCATCGCGGCGGGGATCGAGGGGATCCCTGACAGAATTTTGCTCAACATTGTGCAAAATAGCATGGAGGTAAACTAGAGGGCACTAAAGTCAAAGGAATTTATACACTTAATTTTCCACAGAGGAGAGGTGATTTTGATAGAGAACTTTTAAAACGTGAAAAACATTGGATATATAAAACTTGATACTTTATCCCCTAAAGGGTTAAATGTTGAATTTGACCTCCAAGTGTTTTTGCAAAAATAAGAAGACTTGCAGCATAAGTCTGTCCCCTGCCATCTGTAGGTGATGAAGATAGTTAAGAACTCCATATAAATGACATTGTGTGAATTTAAGAATATTCTCTTCCCACTGTGTAGCCAGATATCTGCATATTTATCTGTGTTCCTTGACCAGTTATTTGCTGATTATTTTAGTTCTTTTCCCACTGAGTTTAATTGCCACCAGCTGATTTACATATATGGGCGGTCACAAGCCTATTATAAATAATGCATGTAAGGTAGGCATCTCATTGGTCTTGATGAAGCTGAGCAAGATACGCCCATTGGCGAAACGCGCTGACGTCATACGTCAGATACATCACTTCCGGTCGGACGCCTTGGCACCACACACGCAGTCCTTCAGGGGAGGCGGTATTACACGCCGGCATTCGGCTCTGTCAGACTACACGAGTACCAGGATGGGAGTGGAGCCCGTCTGCTTCTAGTCCCGATGGTGGCGGCTGCCTCCGGGACCATGGGCGGTTATCCTGACGAGGTAAACTCTGCAAGAATATCACCTAAGGCATGGGTGGTGAGTGATATGCAGCACATGTAAATGGGAATACGGCATATAAACGCCATTGCCTATCTACCTAAAGTGACTCACTTACTGACTTCCCATATGTCACCTATTTATTTCAGGATGGGAACATCATGTTATACTACCTAAAGGTGCACAGCACCCTATGTTTACTAACAGGCATGGATGCTCCTGTATTCAACATTACAGTATTATCATTAAGGAGGTGTGTAGCCCGCACGTTGTGGTGAAGAACCCCTTTTCGGTGTAGCAAACTTGCTCATCAGAGATGGACGTGGAGTTCCCCTTTTTTATTAGAAGTATTCCTCAATCCTTTATTCCCTACCCCCTCCCTTCCTGAGAGGCACAGGGACAGATGTGTAAGTGTTAAAAGTTGCTGGCAGGCTGGAGCAACAGGGGGCCCAGCGCTACAAAGCCCCCCTATAGAGACAGCAGACTCTCTGTCCCAAGGCCTGTGTAAAATCACACCTCCTAACCAAGATAAGGTAGTTTTTTCCCCTGACTTGAAAGAAGTTGGAACCTCATAAACCCTTTCAGCCAGGTGACAGAAGGTAAATGAACATTCCTCAGGTCAGCTGTCACCTATGTTTCATATCATGGATTATGAAGCTGTCAGTTTTAATGCAGAGCCCATCCGACGAACCCGCCAAAAACAGGGTATTGGCCAGTTACTCAGAGCCACCCCCCCTTGCAGGGGGACTATAAAAGACAGGCTGGCAAGCCTAAAAAGTTAAGCTAAACACATCTCCCAATTTTAACATCGTAACAGCAAGAGATCAAAGACCCTTCGCTCTGCAACTTGGATCTGCTTTCCTTAAGGCAGAACATGCCAAGTAACTTAACCTTTTAACTTCTCCCTGTTATCTCTTTGCTGTGCTGTGCTGTTTTCTTTTTATATATAAATATATATCTTAGTTACATTTTCTTTGTAAATATTTTATTGCACCTGTTTGACTCTTTTAGTAATAAATCTTTCTTTCTGAAAGTGTTAAACTGTTTCTAAAGCGCTTAATTGCAATTTACAAATTCCTGCCTTTTGAAGAGACGCTACTGTGTTTGTTTAATACTCTGCCTAATTGGCCTGCGGTGACCGTATTGGACAGGTGACTTTTCAGCCATTACAGTGTATATTGGATAAAGAGAGTTTCCTTTTTCTCTGTACAAAAGAAGGTGGTGGCAGTGTGAAAGGGTTAGTTGCGTAATTAACCCGACCCAGTAACAAGCGCATTCAGATTGCAGGCACCGACTGTAGTCCATTAGCTGGAAAATCGCTGTGTATGGTGCAGCTGGGTGTGGCCTTGATACCCACATCACATCGCGGTTTTAGATCGGCCGGTCCTTCGGTCACGAGTTTGGTGAGAAGGTCTGGGGTCTGACGCCGCGGGCGTGACATATTGTTGTTCGCGGTCGTGCGATTGTCGCATGTTGAGGGTGGCGATCGTGCGTCCGTGACATTCGACACGGCCCTGCCATTTCTACTACACTGTGGGAGTCACATGGTGACAATACTATGGCTATCAAGTTCATCTTATCAAGTATCATGGACATGACTACTGCTGTTTGATACCTCATCACCTCCTTTTTCCAAAGTAAACCTACCATAACTACTATTTGTTCTGGTTATTACCCACCCCCAGCTAGTGGGTGTGGAGGTATATTGTCTCTATATATCTTTCAACAGTCTAAATATACCTGTTTAGGTTTTATTGGGCTACTATATCCATTGTCTGGTACTTCTGATGAGCCATATACTGCATTGATTGTTATGCCATTTTGGTACAATTTTTTGAAACACCCCCTGTATGGCGGTGTAACCATTGTGTCAGTGCTGCATGTGTATTAGACCAATTGTCATTATATTTGCAGTACTTCATTAATTTGACCGGTCATGACGTCTGTTTTTAAGTTATTTTAGGTCAATTTTGATGTATTATCTCATACTGAGGTGATGGCTAACTGAGGTATTTATGTTATATGTCCATATGTGTATTGTGTAATAAAGCATAATTTTTTTAACTACTTTGAGTATCGCTTTCTGTCCATTATGTAACCGCTTCTCTGTGAATCTCTTTTCATGTCTTTTTTTGTTGCTGCCATACCTACCTGCTGCTGCACCTACGTTCCTGCATCCGCACCTGGCCTGTATCCTGGTTGCCGCCATACCTACCTGCTGCTACACACCTACGCTCCTGCATCTGCACCTGGCCTGTATCCTGGTTACCGACATACCAACCTGCTGCTGCACCTACGCTCCTGCATCTGCACCTGGCCTGTATCCTGGTTACCGCCATACCTACCTGCTGCTGCACCTACGCTCCTGCATCTGCACCTGGCCTGTATCCTGGTTACTGCCATACCTACCTGCTGCTGCACCTACGCTCCTGCATCTGCACCTGGCCTGTATCCTGGTTACTGCCATACCTACCTGCTGCTGCACCTACGCTCCTGCATCTGCACCTGGCCTGCATCTGGATCTTCTGGGTCATCACCTGCCTACAGTCATCTCAAGACCCACCAGGCACTCGTGCCACTCCTGGCTCGGAGCCCTCTGTCCCCACTATCAGGGGCTCTGAGCAGGAGTTGTAAGAGGACGCCTCCCCTCCACGTCAGGCTCCCCAACCAGGTACGTGACAGGTATGTACATCCAAATTGGAGGAAGATGACCAGATGATGTGTGGACCGACACAGGGAAACGCAGACTTCAGGTATAGTATAAAACAATACAATTTATTAAAGGCTAAACAATACATAAATGCAGTGCAAGGCTGAACATAAACACAGTGCAAACAAAACAAAACCTCCAACAGATAACAATATGTACAACACCAAACGTAGTTGGGCAGGCCGGGTCGGTAGCTAATGGGCAGACAAGGTACAGGCAGGAAAGTGGTCAGGAGTAGCCGAGGTCAGTATAGGCAGAGTTCATGCGGAGTCAGGATCAAAGCAGAGAGTCAGGCAGGCAGGATACAGGATCAGGATACAGGGCACAAGGGAGCAATACACCAAGGCCCTGACTGCAGGCCTGGTCCTGCTTAAATACACACGTCAGGCTGGGCAGCGGGCAGAGGCACGTCAGGCTGGGCAGCGGGCAGAGGCACGTCAGGCTGGGCAGCGGGCAGAGGCACGTCAGGCTGGGCAGCGGGCAGAGGCACGTCAGGCTGGGCAGCGGGCAGAGGCACGTCAGGCTGGGCAGCGGGCACTGGGCCATCAGGTGGAGCAGCAGGCACTGGGCCATCAGGCGGAGCAGCAGGCACTGGGCCATCAGGCGGAGCAGCTGGCCATCAGGCGGAGCAGCGGGCCATCAGGTGGAGCAGCGGGCACCGGGCCATCAGGCAGAGCAGCGGGCACCAGGCCATCAGGCAGAGCAGCAGGCACCGAGGCATCAGACACGACAGCGGGCACCGAGTCATCTGGCACGACAGCGGGTACCGATCCATCTGGCAGAACAGCGGGCACCGAGTCATCTGGCAGAACAGCGGGCACCGAGTCATCTGGCAGAACAGCGGGCACCGGGTCACCAGGCTCGACAGCGGGCACCGAGTCATCTGGCACGACAGCGGGCACCGGGTCATCTGGCACGACAGCGGGCACCGAGTCATCTGGCACGACAGCGGGCACCGAGTAACCAGGCTCGACAGCGGGCACCGAGCCATCTGGCATGACAGCGGGCACCGAGCCATCTGGCACGACAGCGGGCACCGAGTCACCAAGCTCGACAGCAGGCACTGAGTCATCTGGCTCGACAGCAGGCACCAGGGCGCCAGGCTCGATAGTGGGCACCGGGGTGCCAGGCTGGACCACGGGCGCCAGGCTGGACCACGGGCACCGGGGCATCAGGCTGGATCGGGTAATCAGGCTGGGTAGGATCATCAGGCTGGGTAGCGGGCACCGGGTCATCAGGCAGGACAGCGGGCACCGGGGCATCTGGCTGGATAACAGGCATTGGGTCATCCAGCTGGAAAGCGGGTATCGGATCATCAGGCTGGATAACGGGCATCGGGTCATCAGGCCGAATAGGATCATTAAGCTGGGTAGCGAGCGCCAGATCATCAGGTTGGATAGGATCATCGGGCTGGGTAGGGTCATCAGGCTGGGTAGGGTCATCAGGCTGGGTAGCGTACACTGGGTCATCAGGCATCCGGGCATCAGGCTGAACAGTGGGCACCGGGGCACCAGGCTGGACAACGGAAGGCGGGTTCTCAGACAGCAGGCTGACCGGCTTGGATACTGGCAGGATGGTACTGGTTGGAAAAAAATTTTGCTTCTTCTTGGGTTTAGTTACTGGAGCACCGCAAGTAAATGCAGGGCTGTAAACAGAGGGAACAGCTTCTACAGATGACTTCTTTACAGGGTTAAAGGCAGGATAGGTGCAGCGAGTGGGAACAGGGTACTGACATGTGGTAGATAGCAGGGTATACTGGGCTGTCACTGGGGGTGCTGTGGGAAATGGAGGAAGAGAGCTTTGAGCAGAGGAATGATTAGAAGCAGGACTGGGTTGTTGCAAGCTAACTGGGGCTGGGTGTAACAAATCTGACCATGTCTGTAGTACTGGTTGAACAAAGCTCAGCTTACACAAAGCCTGTCTGACCAAAGACTGCACTGCGTTTATACAATCCACTAGCACATGTTGTGAACATGCTGAATAATGCTCCAAGAAGCAATCCGGATCATCCTCCAATACCCATACCAGTGACTCTACTTGGTCTGCACTAAACGGCGGCAAAAAGTCATCCCTGCTTTCAGGGGTACTAGATGAAGCCAACTCAGCACAAGCCTGAATCAATGGTTGCACTTCAAAGAACTCCGTGCCCTGATCTACTAGGGAATGAGCAACTTGTATGATTCTAGCAGCTGATCCCTGGCATACTCCTTCAGAGTCTGATAGGCATATTCTCTGTCATCTAAGACTAGCAGATACAAGTACACAACCTCCTCAGGATGCATACTTCACAACAACAAGCCAAGATGGCTTCCCTGTGCAGCCACTTCTGGTCAGGACTGGCCTTGGTGTAATGTCAGGGATCCGGGTATGACCAGAGATGTGTGGACCGACACAGGGAAACGCAGACTTCAGGTATAGTATAAAACAATACAATTTATTAAAGGCTAAACAATACATAAATGCAGTGCAAGGCTAAACATAAACACAGTGCAAACAAAACAAAACCTCCAACAGATAACAATATGTACAACACCAAATGTAGTTGGGTAGCTAATGGGCAGACAAGGTACAGGCAGGAGAGTGGTCAGGAGTAGCCGAAGTCGGTACAGGCAGAGTTCATGCGGAGTCAGGATCAAAGCAGAGAGTCAGGCAGGCAGGCAGGATACAGGATCAGGGCACAAGGGAGCAAAACACCAAGGCCCTGACTGCAGGCCTGGTCCTGCTTAAATACACCTCCTGCAATCAGCCTCAGGTGATGGCCTGATTGCAGGAGTGAGAGCACCCTCTGGCCAGCACTGGTACTGCAGCCCACAAGGCAGGTAAGCCCCAGCACTATCATAGATAAGACCATTCCTGACAAAGGGTTTAAGAATTACAGCTCTTAAGAGTAGCCATCCCCCTTTTTTAAGGGACCAAAAGTAATTGGACAATTGAATCAAAAGCTGTTTCATGGCCAGGTGTACTCCTTCATTATTACTTCATCAATTAAGCAGGTAAAAGGTCTGGAGTTGATCCTCAGTGTGGTATTTGCATTTGGAATCTATTGCTGTGAACCTACATCATGTGTTTAAAGGAGCTATCCATGCAAGTGAAACAGACCATTGTAAGGCGTCAAAAACTAAACACATCCATCAGAGAGATAGCATCAACATTAGGAGTGGCCAAATCAACAGTTTGATACATTCTGAGAAAGAAGAACACACTGGTGAGCTCAGCAACATAAAAAGGAACGGACGTACACGGAAGACAACAGTGGTGGATGATCGCAGGATCCTCTCTATGGTAAAGAAAAACCCATTCACAACATCCAGACAAGTGAAGGACACTCTCCAGGGAGGTGAGCATATCAATGTCAAAGTCTACAATCAAGAGAAGACTTCACGAGAGCAAATACAGAGGGTTCACCACAAGGTGCAAACCATTGATAAGCCTGAAGAATAGAAAATCCAGATTAGACTTTGCCAAAAAAACGTCTAAAAAAGCCAAATCAGTTCTGGAAACACATTCTTTGGACAGATGAAACTAAAGATTAATCTGTACCAGAATGACGGGAAGAAAAAAGTGTGGAGAAGGCTTGGAACAGCTCATGACCAAAGCACACAACACCATCTGTAAAACATGGTGGAGGCAGTGTAATGGAATGAGCATGCATTGCTTCCAGTGGCACTGGGTCATTGGTGTTTATTGATGATGTGACAGAAGACAGAAGCAGCTAGATGAATTCTGCAGTGTTTAGAGATATACTGTCAGCCCAGATTCAGCCAAATGCAGCAAAGTTGATTGGACGGAGCTTCACAGTACAGATGTACAATGATCCAAAAACACACTGCAAAAGCAACCTTGAGCTTTAAAGGAAAAGAAGTGGAATATTCTGCAATGGCCGAGTCAGTCACCTGATCTCATCCCAATTGAGCATGCATTTCACTTGCTGAAGGCAGAACTAAAGGCAGAAAGACCCACAAACAATGAACAACAGCAAAATACAGCTGCAGTTACAGCCTGGCAAAGCATCAGAAAGGAGGAAACCCAGTCTTTGATAATGTCCATGGGTTCCAGACTTCAGGCAGTCATTGTCAGTAAGGGATTCTCAACAACATATTAAAAAAATTAACATTTTAGTTATGATTATATTCATTTGTCCAATTACATTTGAGCCCCTGAAAATGGAGGGACTGTGTATAAAAATGGTTGCAGTTTTTAAAATTTGTACTTGATATTTATGTTCAACCCCTTGAATTAAAGCTTAAAGTCTGTACTTCCAATTCATTTGGATTGTTTCGTTTTAGTTAATTCTGGTGGCATATAGAGCCAAAAGTATGAAAATTGTGCCTGTGTCCAATATATATGGACCTAAGTATGTACACACATACACACTATACTGCCAAAAGTATTGGGACTCCTGTCTCTTTACGCACATGAACTTTAATGGCACCCCAGTCTTAGTCTGTAGGGTTCAATATTTAATTTGGTCCACCCTTTGCAGCTATAACAGCTTCAACTCTTCTGGAATTTTTGGAACTTCTGATTTTTATTATGCACGGACTTTTGGTGTTTAATATTAATATTACTGGGGATATTCACTATTAATTCATGGTTTATGATATATTTATTTTGCACTTTATATATTAATTTTTTTGATTGGATTTAGAGATCTATTTTTGCGCTGTTTATTTATGTTCCTTATTGTTTGTGTTTTTTCACACATTTGCACAGCAGCAGGTTAGATTTTGTAGTTTTTTGGCGCAGGAATAAGAATTTTTATATAAAAAATTCTTCTGGGAAGGCTGTCCACAGAGTTTAGGAGTGTCTCTATGGGAATGTTTGACCATTCTTCCAGAAGCGCATTTTTGAAGTCAGGCGCTGATGTCAGATGAGAATGCCTGGCTCATAGTCTACACTCTAATTCATCCCAAAGGTGTTCTATCGGGTTGAGGTTAGGACTCTGTGCAGGCCATTCAATCTCCTCCACCCCAAACTCCCTCATCCATGTCTTTATGAACCTTACTTTGTGCACTGGTGCGCAGTCATGTTGGAACAGGAAGGGGCCATCCCCAAACTGTTCCCACAAAGCTGGGAGCATGAACTTGTCCAAAATGTCTTGGTATGCTGACGCCTTAAGAGTTACCTTCAGTGGAACTAAGGGAGCAAGCCCAACCCCTGAAAGACAACAGCACACCATAATCCCCCTTCCACCAAACTTTACACTTGACACAATGCAGTCAGGCAAGTACCGTTCTCTTGGCAACCGCCAAACCCAAACATGTCCATTGGATTGCCAGACAGAGAAGCGTGATTTGTTACTCCAGAGAACACATCTCCACTGCTCTGAGTCCAGTGGTGGCGGGCTTTACACCACTGCATCCGACGCTTTCATTGCACTTGGTGATATACGGCTTGGATGCAGCTGAAACCCATTCCATGTAGCTTCTCTACGCACTGTTATTGTGCTAATCTGAAGGCCACATGAAGTTTGGAGGTCTTTAGCTATTGACAGTTGCAGACAGTTGGCGATTTCTGTGCACTGTGTGCTTCAGCATGCTTTGATCCCACTCTGTCATTATTACGTGGCTTACCACCGTAAATGGCTGAGTTGCTGTTGTTCCTAGTTGCTTCCACTGTTATAATACCAGAACAGTTGACCGTGGAATATTTATTAGCAAGGAAATTTCACAGATTAATTTATTGCATAGGTGGCAACCGATCACGGTAGCACGCTTGAATTCACTGAGCTCCTGAGAGCAACCCATTCTTTCACAAATGTTTGCAAAAGCAGTCTGCATGCCTAAGTGCTTGATTTTATACACATGTGGCCATGGAGGTGATTGGAACACCTGAATCCAATGATTTGGAAGGTGTCCCAATATTTTTGGTGTAGGTAGACCTAATTACTGTAACTACATTCAGGCAGCAGAGAGAAATCTCCTAGGCATGCTTTGAGGCAGGACATAAAGGGAGGATAATATCCCCATTGAGGTGAATGGAAGAGGCCACTTTGTGGAGGAAGGAGAGTCTGGGTCTAAAAACACCGTGTTTCTATGCAAGATAAGAAACGGAAACCAAGAAATCACCAGGACATCCACTGTGAAAG